GGAGGCTAGATAAAGTGATGTAGCAAAGTACTGCATACAGTGAAGCAAATAATAAAACCCTGTTTAGACTGGGGTCTTTCAACTTTTCCTCTGGACCTATTATTTTCTCCTAATATTCTGGCAGTTACCTTTTCTTCTCTAGTGACTTCTGCCCTGTGGATCTTCTAATCTTAGTCTTCAGATAATTTCTCTATTCACATCCCAATGAACTCATCTAACAGAAGGATTTTAAATATCATGTTGACTCTGACAAGCCCCAAATTTATATCATCCAGAGGGACAGTCACCTGCCATCCAGTTTCACATATTAAACTGCCTATTCAACCTCTCCTTAATACTTAATAAGCATCTCAGAAAGAACTCTGATTATCCCTCTAGAGCTTGTACACAAAAATTTCACCTTATCGACACTGGCACCTCCATCCTTCCTGTAGTGTTGTCTGAATTTTGGAATCATCCATAATATTTTTCTTCCTGTCATACTCCATACCTAATCCACCAGCAAATCGTTTTCTGCCTTCAAATGTAATATGTGTGTGTGTGTGTGTGTGTGTGTGTGTGTGTGTGTGTGTGTGTGTGTTCAAGCCACAATGATTACTCAGTATTCTTACAGATTATTATAACAATAGTCTACACTGAGATTATTCTACTCTAATCCTAATAGATTATTATTAAAATGGATCAAATCATGTAACCAATCTTTCTGCCTCTACTCTGATTCCCTGTGGGTTTACACTCAACACAGCAATTAGCGTTTATTCTTGAAAGTATCAGGTCATGGACTCCCAATGGCTTCCCATGTCCCTCCTCACACCACTTGTATGATCCTGGCAATTACGGTTCTTTCCCTTGTCACTTTGTTCTAGCTAGGCAGTCCTCCTTAGTGTCTCTTAGAGCCTTTGAGCAAGCTCCTGCTGATAGTCCCGCACCCCGTAATTCCCTTTGCCTTTGGAGGTTTGTACTCAGAAAGACAGACCCTGGGTCTTTGCTCCTTTTCAGGCCTTTTTATGAATGTAATTTTATACCTTATACAATAAAGCAATGAATTGTCCATTGAAACCAGCCTTCACCCCTGGTCCAACTTTATTTATCTTCATAACACCTCACACCAACTCCAAAGCACTTAGTATAGTGTAATTTTTACTGGTTTGCTTATGTACTTAATGGCCTCTCACTGAAACTGTGAGGGCGATGGAAGAAAAAGCTGACTGGGCTGACTCTCCACTCCCCTGAACACCTTGGCACTCAGAAAACACTCAACAGACAACTGCTGGATGAATGGACAGAAAGACTGGAGTACAGTGGGCTTGGAAAAAAAGACAGATGACCTTGAGATGTTTTCAAGGGGGGAAGGAGACAGAGTGGGATGAGGTATGGTATTGAGCAGAAAAAGGGAGATCAAGAAAACAGAGGTTTTGAGTGTCTATCCAAGATTCTCACCCAGAGCATTGAGTTGATGATAAAAGTTTCACTGAAACAGAGAAGATGGGAGAAGAATGGGTTGAGGGACTGGGACAGAGAAGGCCAATTCAATTTTGAAGCTGAGATTAAGGTTATTGGGAGATATTTAGTGGAAGATGTCCTGCAGGCAGCAGACTCTGCAACTATTAATTGGATTCATGCTGATCATCTCTGTTCACTACCAAGCAACTATGTGGAAAGGAAATGAAGAGAGAATGTGTAGGGCTGACTTCTTTTCTAGGGGAAAGCTAAATCCTCTTAGTTTACCCGTCAGGTGATCTTCTGGATCCAGCTCTCCCCAGGAGCTCACAACTATTCAGAAACCACATTCATTGTTGGAATACCACCATTTCTCAGTCTGACTCTGGGGGTACATGCTTGCCATTCAGAACCTACTATATTTTACTGCACCTCCTGACATTGTTACACAACATTTATTGAAAGCACATTTGATGGTAATGAAGTTTCTATTAACTATGATTAAATCTCATAAAGCACCTGAAGATAATTTAAGATGTGCAGAAGCAGAAAATGAAACATTCGGTTTAGTACATTAGGAAACGTAATTGATTAAATTATCTCATTTACAATAAGTGCTTTCATGAGCTATGCACTGCACATATTTTCCCCAGTTTGTCATTATGATTTGCCAACACGTATCTTCAGACTTCACTTTCTTTATGCACCTCCTTGCAACTCAAACCTGGATTTGCGGTTCTGGTCTTGAAGGGTTGAGTCCAAGGCGTCAAGTGATACATTCTCTCTACTAGGACTGGTGGAAGATTATGAGTACGCTATATATAGGAACAGGTTGTTTCTCAATTACCATCATAATTGACTTTGATTTTGCATGTGATGATTCATGTAGTCTTCAACTAAACCCCACTTTCACTGAGAAGCAGCAGCCTGAATTTTGTAAAATGCACTTCTAACCATGCAGCTTACACAACCTCTTTTAGATCCCTCTGGGAGCCTTCTGCAATCATGTTGATTCCGTTAAGGCTTTATTTTTAGGCAAATCACAAATTAAAACACTTTAAGTGATTCTGTTGTAGTATCCAGCAATTAAGCATAGTGCTCAGGAGTAAGAACCCACCCATCCAAAAAAACAAATTCGGGAGTCCCTAAGGAATACAAAGAGCTTCTGTGGGCTTTGTGGCTGAAGTACAGATGTAACTAAATTAGAATGGCACAGGACTCACAAACTAAGCATGAAATTAATTTTAAACACTCACACCTGCATTTTTAACTAAGCTCACATGGGCTGCCACATGGACAGGCATGATCCTGTTTGTGCTGTACACCAGAACTAGTAGATAGGATGAACATAGGACCTGGAAGAATCTGAGAGTCACTCATCCCCAGCTGTCACCTTAAGGTCTTCACAGGTCCAGATCACATGTTCAGTGATCAGTTTGTTTTTTTTCCCCAGCTCATAATGTGCCTACTCATACCTACAAACACACATGAATACACTTGGGCTTCTACACCCACAGTATTTGTCTGAACTCAAAATCAACCACACTTGATGTCAGAAGGCCACTCACGATCCCAGGGACCAATGATCTATTATGAGCAACTGGTAGCACAGAGAGGCATCAGGAAAGTATGTTTTGTATTGTTTTACCAAGTTCTCAAGTTGAAAGTAAGTGGCATCTTCCTATTTCCACCCTGCCTAAGGCAACCCAAGCAAATATGAAGAGATTGGCTTTTCTGGATCTTTCTCTCATGTCTTGTGATGCCTGCCTCCAATGTATCTATTTCTGTCTGTCTTCACAAGGACTTAATTCTTTCAAAGAAGTTAGCTAATAAAAGCTATTAACCCTCCCAAGCTCTTTGAAATTTAATACTCTCGGATTTAAAAGATCAAAAGTCATCCGTCTTATAGTAAATGAGTGAAACTGGGCAGGGACATTTTTCTCAAGCTTTATAAGCCAGGCAGATGGGTTACTTCTCTTGTTGATAAGAGCTGTATTGCTCTTTTGGTTTCCTTGTATGCCTTACCTATTTCTGACTGCATGACAATGATCTGAGGAACATAGTAACAGGTAAGTTCTCCCCACCCAACTATAGATTCATCTCATTCACCTCTTCTTTTCTGAGGTGGAACATGTTTAATAAACTCCAATCATCCCCCCAGGGTTCTGGATCAGGTGGCCTCTGATCTACTATTTGAAAAACACTTCTCTAAGACAGTGGGCCTGAGGTGCACCATTGGAGTCCCATGGAGACTCTTGAAGAACAGCGATTCTGAGGTTTTCCAACCCACATCCCATCCAGTTCAAAATTCTGAATTCAGTGGTAGAGCTTGGGAACTAGAGATTTTTGTTTGTTTGTTTTTGTTTTTTAAACAGGCCTCCAGGTGATTGTAAAGTGCAGTCAAAACTGAGAGCTGGGGCTGGGAAGGTTGCACAGTGGTAGAGTGCTTGCCTTGCATACATGAGGCCCTGGGTTTGAGTCCTCAGCACCACATAAGCAGAAAAAGCTAGGAGTGGCGCTGTGCCTCAAGTGGTAGAGTGCTTGCCTTGAGCTGAAGAGCTGAGGAACAGCATCCAGGCCCAGAGTTCAGGCCCCACAACAGGCAAAAAAACAAAACAAAACAAAACAAAAAAACCCCCGCAGCAGCAGCAACAACAACAACAACAATAACAAAACAACAAAAAACAACCAAAAAAACCTAGAGCCACAGGGTCAAATGCCAAAATGACAAACATGAAACCATCCTCCTTTTCCAAATCTACTGGATGCAAAATTATGGGAATAATACAAAATCCTCTACAGGAAGTATGCCTGCATCTCAGGAACCCGAGACAGCACCAACAGTAACATTCTCAGTTCATAATTATTTCACTGTGGATTTCTGGCTCCTAATCTACCAGTTGCCATGGATGCCACGGCAGGTGAGATGGTGGTTTGCATTCTCCCGCTCAGCAAAACTGCTCCCTGCTCTGCCTTCCCTTCCTCCTCCTCCTCCTCCTCCTCCTCCTCCTCCTCTACCTTCCCCTCCTCCTCCTCCTCTTCCCCCTCATCCTCCTCCTTCTTCTTGTCCTCCCTTTCCTCCTCCTCTCAGTCTTCTTCCTTCCTCTCCTCCTTCCCCTCCTCCTCTCTCTCCTCCCCCTCCCCCTTCCCTTTCTTCTCTTCCTCCTCATCTTACTCTTCCTTCCTCCCCCCTCCTGGCAAATGGAGTTAGGATTTGGCCCAAAGGCTATTCTCATGAAAGTGTGTACTGGCAAATATTTATTAATTTTAATGCTATAAATCTCTCTAGAAACAGGAATCTTAGATGACATTTGCAGAGAAATGATGTATAGGCAGAAAGAATCAAGAAGAGAGATTTACTTTTGCTCTGAGCGAGGGGAGGGTTGTGCATATTTCTTTTTGATTTAAACCTCTGATATGCGACTCCAAACTCAATGAGAAGCCCTGAAAGCCCTGGATCTTTCCTAGGAACTTCAATTCTGCTCGGTTCCTAAACAAATATAACAGTAAGGCAGCAAATATGAGAATAAATTATATTCACAAGAGGAAAAATAACTTACTTTGGGGTTTTATTTCATGAAGAGGTTTTTTATCTAAAAGAAAGAAAGAGAAAAAGAAAGTTGCATTTAATAAATTTACATGGAGCAGATATATTCCCTGCCTCACTTTGCATCTCGCTCTATCAATGATTCATTCTCTTCATTTTTGAAGACAATATGGATATGTAGTTCATGTTTTTAGCTTCCATTCTAATTTTTATTTGCCTCTTCTGGAATCTTCTTTCTAAGATGATTACTTTATTGTAAAAATGTATATTTTTTCCTCTGGGTCTCTCCAGTTACTCTCCAGTGCCTTAACTAGATTCTTAGCTGAATAGAAGAAGGGAGCTTGCTGCCTGTCCTCTTTTATATACAATGAGCAGCCTGCTTGGGTAAGAGATGCCATTTTACTATATATGATGATAGAAAAATGAGCCAGTGAATAAATATTTAAAGGGATTCTGCACTGGTTTGTAGTAATCCTGGCCTGGATGTAAGTTCCAAATTCTGCCTGTTTATCCATTCCTTTTGGTTATGAGTACAGTGTGATAAGCCTAGTAGAGTTTTGTTTTTTAAACAAATTACTCTTTCCTTCTTGTTTCCTATCTCTATCATCTGTTAAAATATGAACCATCACTCTCAATGGGAAAGGTATCATTTTATACTACTAGGAATTTTCAGCATACCCATTGGGTGAGGTAGAAAAGAGAAAAAAACATTCAGGGCATTTTCATCAAGGCTTCCCAGGACTCTCTAACCTCTCCCCTGTCTGATCTCTCAGCATCAAATAATTAAATGTTTCAGATCACACTGAGACTTGGCGACTTGACTTTCTTCAGTTAATTTTACCACAGTCTGACTACTCCCTTGTGTGCCTCCCATCCCAGGCTACCGCTATCCCATGATACTGCAAAAGCCAGAAACAACCACCCTTTAGATGCCACACGAAGATTCTAGAAGCTTGCATTTTACGAGACAGCATGACTTGAATGGTATTCATTTCTCATGATTCCCTTCCTAGAATTTAAAGGGAATGCTGTCAGACTGTAAGGACCCTGGCTGTTGAAAATGATTCACAAAATCATATAAGATAGGGGGTCTGGAAAGGTCACTTGACACAGTTCCTGTCTGTCTCTGATTGCCTAAAGGTGAGCCACTCTGACTGAGACTATCATTTTGGATTAGGTTTTACATTGAATCAAATCTAACACAGTACACATTTGAGAACATCATCAATATTATCTGACTGATTGCACATTAGGGCCTCCCAGGGCAGACAAACTGCTGTACACAGAGTTCTCCACGGAAGTTCTCTTACCCTAAGCCATTTCTGTGGTGATTTGGACAGAAAGCCCTGCAGTATGGGAGTGCAGTGGGTGGCCGTCTGATTGGTGAGAGAAGTAGTTTTTACAGTGTAAATCACACTTTTGAAAAAATGGGCCTTTTAATGGAAGGAAGAGTGAAATGTCAAAGGGAAACTTCTAGGAAATCTTTCTTTCAAATAAAAATTCTCCATAAAAGACATCACCTGCTTACATTTATCAGGTCATATCAGATTTCCACACAGCAAGGTTTCTTACAATAGTACACTTGTGTTCCCTAACTGTGCAGATTGTATAGTCCTAGATTTCCAGAGAGCAGGTGGCACCTTGTGAAGTCCAGATGTTAATGCACTTAAGAATTAGAATGAAATGACTTTGGTGGGTTTAACCTAACTTCAGTTTTTGCTTATTGCATGGTATCTGAAAGCAGTTGGCATGGACACAGCGATGCTGGCAGGCCCAGGCTACAGTGTATGAAATTGATGCATTGCTACAACCATGCAAGGAGACATGTAGAACATCTGTTTTGAACTCTGGCTGAGCTTAACAGTATTTTCTTCCTTCTGAACCACAGGAATGGAAGATTATGCCAGGTAGCAAAATGAAAATCCATTAAAAACAGGTGAGATATATAACAGCTCTCCAGAAAAATAAATCAAATACAGCTAGGCTATGAAAAACTTGGGGTGGTAGCATTCTACTGGGTAAAGCTTTGAAGAAGAAATTGTATTGTGGCCAAAAACCCTAAGGCTAAGGTTCCAGGAAAGAAATCAACCCACAAGTGCATACAAGGCAGGACTGAAGCATTTCGCCTGTGATCAAATTGGTGACCCAAGCCATTGACCATGTGGCATTACAAGGGGTCCGGACTCTTGGGCTCAAAACTGGATTTAAACCTTGGATTGTTTACAGTCTCTCTGTGCAACATCAGTGTTCTCTGCAGGAAACTAGGAATAAACCTGTCCTTGACAGGAGAAGATTGTGCATGGTAAATAGGAAGCCAATGGAACATAAGTGTAGCACGTGTTTTATATCAATAAATGCAAAAAATGGAAGGTATTGATGTAATTACAACATGTGATGATGATCATGCTAATCCTTATCAGATATTCAAATAACCACTGTGCTACTGCTTGAAGTCAACCTCATTCCAAACCAGAAATTCTAGTACAGTTTTGTGTATCTTGAAGATAAGCTTGTGTCTCTGCTATTATGATGCCATGATAAATACTTTGCTGTGTAAGAGAAGGGAAGGTCCCAGAAGCCACAAGGAGTTCTCAGCTGGATGTCAAGAAATGATATGCTACACAAACCCATTTAACATCATTTCCAAAAGTAGGATTTGTCATGGGGAGGTCCAGCAGGACCTGCATTGTCAGTGTACACCCTTATTTAGGAAAGTGTTTAAATTCAACCTTAGCATCAGAATCAGAACTGGGTTCTGTTATGTTCTGTGACATAACTGTGCCTGGACAGCTAAGTTGCCAACACAGAGCATTTCCCCAGCTGGAAATGTCTGATCTGACATTGTTCAACTATGAGCACTAGGAAGGGTCACCCTCTGACCTGTCTAGTTTTGCAAACACTGCTCACCCCATGCTTCACATTCTTTAAATCTGTCTGCAGAATCATTTTATCCTAAGGTTCAAAGCCATGAAACAACTTGGCCTTGGTCAACCAAATCCTCTCCACTTTTAATTTTACCTCTCTCCAAAGGCCATATTCACATGACCCCTTAGTAAATGAATCCATTAGGGCCATGCTTCTTAATGTTGGCTGTGCACTGAAATCACCAGGGGAGCTTTTTAAAATAAATACCTATGCCTGAAACCTGCTCCAAGAGACTTTGATTAATTGGGGTTTGTGTTTTTGTGATTATTACCACTTCTTAGCAAGAAATCTGGGACTCTGTGCAGTCAAGTCCTGTTAGTTTCTGCTTCCTTAAGGGGTCTTAGGGTAGCTGTAGCATAAAGACTGGGTCTCTTTTCTATCTGGCAGGCAGAGAAATGTTGCAAGCTTGAGCCAGTGACACCTAAGTATAAGCTAGAGGAAACCACAACAGTTTCTCAGGGTCAATCTGAGCTGTTCCCTTCTGAGAGATGGGGAATTATGCCATTATTGCCCTGTGTGAGGATCTTTTTGTGCATTTATAAGTTAAAGATTCAAAAGTGATTTTTAAATAGAGCTTCAAATCATCATATTTTTCTTTGAACACCATTTTTAGTATCTACATGCTTAATAGGCACCTATTAATATAAAGACTAGCACAAAGGGGAAAATCCATTATGGCCTACAAAGAGTTAAGTTATATGTACAAGGGTAGGTTTTATATATATATATATGTGTGTGTGTGTGTGTGTGTGTGTGTGTGTGTGTGTGTATTTATATGCATTCAGCTAAATGATCAATATATCAGTATGAAACTATAAGAAATGAGCAGTCATTTATCATGTTTACCTACAATAAAGTCTTAAATAAATTGTTCTACAGTCTGCTTTTGTAGTTAATTACTGTAATGTAAATATTCCTATGTGTCTGTACCTGTGTAGAGGTAAATATCTGTGAAAAAAGTGGGGGAAGGAAGAGTTGAAAACAATTTACATCTTATGCTTGGTGATGGTTCGTTCTGTTCGACTTTTAGTTTTTGGCTTCCTTATTTATTTCTGATGCTTTTAAAGAATTTCTATGGTATCTGTTGTTCATGGTATCTGTTGAGAGCTATTCCTAACTGTACTATTACCCACCCAAACAACATCCAGCCTCCATATGCAACAAATATGTCCAGCTGCAGGCAGTCCACATCCTGGAGACCTGGTCTGAGGAAAGCTCACCTGTATAAACAGATGGATGCCCGTTTCACCCTATACTCCATACAGCAGGGTGGCTCCAAAAAGCTTTTGATATTGATGATTAGAGGTCTGCACTCATTGATTTTGAACTCTATGCAGATTTGTTTTTTTATCAGAGTCTATGTGGCCTTTAAGATTCAGAAATAGGACCACTAACATTCTCACAATATAACTCTTCCTCTGCAGCAATTCAAATGTCATTAGAGTCAAAGTTTACTAACCTATTTATTACATTTTATTTAAAAAGAATACTGTAATTATTCCCTTCCTTATTGATAACATTTTTAAATTTTTTGGGGGGGGGTCCGGTCATGGGACCTGAACTCTGGGCCTGGGCGCTGTCCCTCAGCTCTTCAGCTCAAGGCTAGCACTCTACCACTTGAGCCACAGCACCACTTCTGGGTTTTTCTTTTTGCTTATGTGGTGCTGAGGACTTGAACCCAGGGCCTCATGCATGCAACGCAAGCACTCTACCACTGAGCTACCTTCCCAGCTTGATTTTTTTTTTATTGTGAAAGTACCGCACAGAGGGGTTAACAATTACATGGGCAAGATGAGTATATTTCTTATTAAGTATTGTTGCCTCAAAAGACTCCACATAGAGCTCCCCTAAAATCCAACAATCCCACTTTTGGGCATTTACCCAAATGATCACAACCAAGACCACACTAAAGCTACCAGCAAAACTATGTTTACTGCAGCATTATTTACCTTAGCTAAGATATGGAACCAACCCAGATGCCCCTCAGTAGATGAATAGATCAAGAAAATGTGATATATACATTGGAATACTATGCCTCCATCAAAAAGAATGACATCTCCCCATTTGTTAGAAAATGAAAAAACTTGGAAAAAATGTATTAAGTGAAGTAAGCCAGGCCCA